GACTCCCCTCGATATCGAGGCGGGTAGCATCGTGTGGTGTATCAAACGACTTCGCGTTTTCTGGTGGGGTACGAAATTTCGCATTTTCCCGACCACAAATCTCTTGGGCATTTTGTCAAGGTGGAGGAGAACAATGCCCGTGTTCTGCGTTGGCTTGAATTTCTTACCGCCTACAATTATACTCTCGAGTATCGTAAGGGTTCCACGAATGACAACGCTGAATCCCTCTCTCGCCGGCCGATAGATCCAGCCGAATGTGACCGATCTTGTCGCAGCCGCTTGACCCCGGCTAAGGATGAAGGAAGCCGTGTTTTTCATTCGTTCTTGTGCCATTACAACTTCCGGGCATCGGGTCGCGGGTGTTGGCTTGGGTGGGCGAGCCTAGACTTTCCCGACTTCGGTCTCGGGTGGACTCTCCCCCTCTACGGCTGACGTCGTCGGTTTCCGTTATCACGGTCCGCGTCTCGCACCGTCAGGCGTTAGATCTTCGTCTGGCGTCTGGAAAATCGCTTCCTGGCCTCACACGACGCTCGGCGTTTCGTCCTCTTCGATAATCCCCAATCGGCCTTCTGTCGTTTCGTCCGACTCTCGGCATCAGTCTTCCGATGATATTTTTGCTCTCAAGCCTGAACTTCCGTCGACCGTTCCTTCAGTTGCCACGCCACGTCGGACCCTCGATTCTACGCGAGTGATTTCCACGCGAGCTCGCCGCCGCATGTGGTTTTGGCAGGCACGCCGGTCTCGCCTGTTGATCATGATTCTCTGACGACCCACCCGTCTTCCCTGCCTCCCACAACGCTTTCCGTTTCGCCTCAGCCGTTTCGACGGTCTCCGACGACGCCCTCGGCACCGTCGCGAGGACACCAGTTCTACCAAGTTCGGTTTCGACTACTTGTACTGGTGTATATTCTCAAATCCCTCCGCGCCTCTGGCTCATGGATTGAATTCTGCGTCAGTGACGCGTACTGCAACTTCGGTTGGTCCTGCTTTGCACCCTTCTGCAGCCCCCGACTCTTCGGAGTCCCCGCCGAGTTTAATTTCGACCGCTCGCGCGAATTCACCTTCGACATCCACTGCTCTACCTCCTCAAGGGTTGCAGTCGACGCCGCCAGAGTTCAGAGTCACCCCCCTCTTCTATCGAGGTGGCCCTGCATTCTTCGACGGACCTGGACGTCCGGGAGTCTGTCGAACGTTTCTCACGTACTTTTTGGGCTCGCGAACAACGCAACAAACCTGTGTGTGATGCAGCAATTCGTTTCATCCTGCTGGGTCGGCCTTTAGTCCTCCTTTCGACTTTTTTTATCATGTTCCGTCCGCTCGTCGACTTTCCTTGTTGGAGAATTGTGACCTGTCAAACAAAAGCCGGTTACACGTTGACAATGATGGTTTGGTCTTGCTTGTTCGCTAGCCGACAACGCCCCCGTCTCCTACATCTACACGTCCTGGAGGACGTGCTGCTCGCCTCCCCAACCACGAATCCATCTGGATTTATTTTCCTATGCTCATGCGTCCGTGGACCATGCAAGTTTGCCACGATGGCACATCCTGCTAACTCAGTGCAGCTCGCACGCTTAGCATGCTGGAACTTAATTTTTTTATGGGTTGGCATGAGTGTATGCACGAAGTTGTGGGTGTGACATTGTTTGCGATGCCAAGCTCGCAACTCATCTCGTCAGACTTCTCGGTGGCCTACTTTGTGCCTTCCATTGCCGAAGGGCCCTGGTGTGTCGATGAGTGTCGACTACTTCGGTCTTCTCCCGTTGACACCACGTGCAAACACATACAATCTGCTGGTCACGGACCGTTTCAGCCGCCGCGCCGATGTGTACGCGGTTACGGCTGCAGAATTCACCGCCGAAGGCACTGCTGAAGTTCTCGTCGACCGGTCGATTCCTTTGTGAGGTTACCCGTTGAGTCTCTCGTCTGACAACGGCTCCCAGGTTAATTCTAAACTGTCGCAGGGTGTGTACGCCCAGCTTGCTTTTCGCAAAAGTGGCTACTTAGCTCTTGCCACCCTAATGGTCATGGGAGTGTGGAGCACGCCAATCACACAATTGCTCAGATGTTAGCTATGGTCGTCAACGAGAGACAAGATGATTGGGCATTCATTTGCCGCACGTCGAGCTTGCCTACAATAATTCGGTTAGTGCAGCTACTGGTTTAGCGTCAGGTGCACATGAGTCGATTGCCACGTTTGCCGATGACTGTCCTTGATCATCCCTATGCTCGCGGCCACCAAAGCTTGAATCGTGATCAATTTGAGTATGACGATGTTGCTGCTGATCGCCGACGTCGTTCGTACGACTTGGTTTCGCGGATCGAGCGGCGAAGTTCCGCTCTTTCGGATGCTATACGCAAGCTTCCCTTTTCACCGTAGGTGGGTGGGTTTTGGTGTACAACTCCGAGTCCACCATCCTCCAAGGTGTTCGTTCAGATACAGATGACACGGTTCTTGAAGCCAAGTTGTCTTCAGTTTTGGCTGTGGGCCCGTGTTCGGATGCCCCTGTGGTCGTTTTAGGCGTCCAAGTTGCTCTACTTGGATCTCCCGTCGGACCTGCAGGGCCAAGACTCGAAACTTCGCGTGCCAGTTGTGCGTTGCAAGCCTTGCGCTTACCCGCATGGCACAGATGACTTACCTCGGTTTCTACCTGCTGGTCTACACCGTACGTGCAAAACGTTATGTGAGTAAATCTCCTCCCTACCATGTTACGGAAGACGACGTATCTACTCCGGTCGAACGTCTCGAGTTGGAAGCATAAGCGGACACCAGTCCGTCGTGGTCGTGGTGGCACTACAGTATGACATTCTTATACCAGACACACTGGACAAGTCGTCTTTGCCCTTCCCGGGAGCGTGAGGTGGATCTACAGCAATCCAAGCCGCACATTCTTCGGTGCTGGACAGGTTCGCCTGACCGACATCGCCAAACGAACCCTCGATATCGTGCGATGCGCATTGGTGCGGCTACCCGTGAATTGGCGCGCGCTAAAGGAGACAGAACCTTGCCTTCGAGCTCCTCGCTCGTTCCTCGTTCTACATGCGACCGTCGCGTCGCCCCTACCCCTCTACCTGTGGGTGCCTTCTTCTGGTACAAACCGCACGATGGACTCTGCTGGTTGCAAGATTTGTGGACCGCATCTGTCTCCCGTCCGACTGTTACGTCGTCCGCTCCTTGGACGACCCTGGGCCAGTGAAGCTCGCCCTACCCGATGTTCGCTACTCCACTATCGAAGCCACCGTCTTCGGCTCCTGGTGCCTCGAAGTTCACAGCGGCCGCGCCTTTTGCGAGGATATTCTTCGCAACATCGACATGTCACGTGGCGTCGTAGTGAACGACTTGTTGCCTGAGGACTTCGTGCGCTATTATTAAGATGGCGTGCTTGGTGGCTTTTGCCTCCTGTTTAGCATTTTTTTGTTCGTTTTCCTGTCTTCTTTACTTTGGCTTCAATAGTCCACCAGGTCGAGCTTCCCTGTTACCTGCAGCGGTTTTGCCAGTGATTGTTTGGTGTCGCGAACCCTTTAAAATTTCTCTTTTCTTCGCTTCCGAAACGTTTGGTTTCCGGCCTTTTGTGTACGTTGTGGTGCTGTTGTACGTTTTCGATTTTTTTCGTCTCTACGTCTTCTCTTCTTAAAATTCGTGGACTGTAGACTAGGTGTTTGGAAACCTTTACCTTGTTGTCGCTCCCACGCTACCGTGGCGGTTGTTTGTCATATCTTATCGTTTTATCGATGCAGGCCTTCAAGTCGTTCCGACGACATTTATATTTTTTGTTTTCGTCGTTCCGACGACGTTCGTTCCTCTTCGTCGTTCCGGCGACGCATATTTCTTTCGTTTCTATTGTGTCCTCTTTTCCCCCCTTTCTTTTGGGTTCCGATCTGTTGCTTGTACTTCTATATGTATGATATTTGTAGCCTTCGCCTTTGGCGGCTCTCCCGTTGGTTTCCCTTCTGTTAGCCCCAGTTTATTCCTTCCTAACTTTTTTTTGTATTTTGGTCTAGAGGTCGAACGAAGAACTTGCGACTCATTAAGTGAGAGGTGTGGGAGGGTGAATTGTGGTATTGTAGAGCTCCGCATCCTCGACACTCTTGGGATTCGACAAGTAATGACCAAGTTTCAAGATTTACTTATCTGCGTATGAGAACCTTCAGAATGGGTTCGCGTTATGGGATTTGAATGTGAAGGGAAAGTACCAAAGGTGTGGTGCGTGCTAATGCCCAGAGGAAAGTAAGAAGTGCGGGAGATAGAATTGACTCCCGATTGATTGAAGATTATAGCTGGGCACAGGACCTTGCCAATGCTAGAGGGAGCTGGTCTGCCCCCACATGCTGAGTCTACCACAGAGAGCAAGGACACAGCATGCACTGCTGTACAAAGGGAGATATAGATATGAATCAACAAGTAGTGCGTATTCGCCAGAGTCTTCAGAGATTCCTACGCGTATCAATACTGTTACGCAGAAATGATACGAGCACGATAAAAGGAAATCATCAGCAGCGTGGATGCTGTAGCCCGAAGGAATAAGAAAGCCGTTGTAAGAAAATTGACGCCTTGGACTGGTCTTTCCACCAAAAATAAGGAATTGAGGCCCAACACTATGTTGACGATTCTCATATCCGGGCCCATTCTGTACAAACATTTCCTGCTGGACATCCGTTCTCTCTGGCGCGTATACAATTGCAATGGGGTGAGAGAACGGTCCTGGGCTCATGGAATGGCGTCTATGCTGTACATAGACTACATTGTGGCGTGGTGTTCATCTGTCATATCCCCCCAAGACTTAAACCAGTCACACAACAACTACTGCACTCTATATCCGCCAAGGACTCCACCCACTCACACAACGATGTAGTACGGCAACTACCGGGGCATCTCTCTCGTCGCACACGCCGGCAAGGTGCTGCTCAAGGTCGTCGCTACACGACTGAGCCACTGCTGCGAGCGAGAGGGCATCCTCCCGGAGGAGCAGAGCGGTTTCCGCCCACACCGGTCGACGCTCGACATGCTGTTCGCCATCCAGCGGCTCCATGAGCTCGCGAGGAAGAAGAGTACTGCGGTGTTCGCGTGCTCCGTCGACCTCACCAAGGCATACGATTCGGTGGACCGAGACCTACTGTGGGACGTGCTCCGACGCTTCGGCGTGCCCCGGAAGATGCTGGCGGTCGTTCGCCACTTCCACGAGGGCATGAGGGCGCGCGTCCGAACGGACGACGGGCAGTACTCGGAATGGTTCGACGTGGGCCAAGGCCTCCGACAGGGATGCAACGTGGCCCCGCTGCTGTTCAACTTGTTGTTCTTTGCCGCGATGCTCATGGTCGCCGTGGCCGAGTTCGACAAGGACCCCAAGGTGACGGCGGACATGGTCAAGATCGGGACACAAGTGGAGTACACGGGCAAGAAGGGCAGGTCGGCGGGGAAGAAGACGACGGTGGTGACGGACGCGGAGGCCTTGTGGGCCATGCTCTACGCTGACGACGCGGCCATCGTCTCGCGCTCGCCGGAGAGTCTCGAGAAGATGATGTCGGTCATCGTGCGCGTGGCCGG